GAAAAGCCCTCTTTCCTCATGACTCAAAAAGCAATTTCGGACGAGTTTCCCGTAGGCATCGTGCCAATAACCGCTACGGTAGAGGTACGACTACACGTATGTACTCATATATCCATGCAGCACCGCGGCCGCTTCATATCAATCCCTTCGCTTCATATTTTACTTCGCAAATGAAGCAATACGAGCATCAGGTACGGTCGTCCATTTGTGGGCGGGCGGGCGCGGTGGGCGTTCGGGTCGGTATGTTGTAGCTTAATGGGGCCCTACAAGGGTACGTTCCTCGGAATAGGCGCTGTGCAGCGCCATGCCAGGATCGCGGAATTCCGTTCCGGAATGTGAGATTCTGGCTCGACTTCGAAAAAGTTGATTTGGGTTGGCCATGGCTGTATAGCAGCCGCCAGCGACAATAGGTCCAGCCTATCACAGATGACTGATCTTTGAGGTGAACAAATCTTCAGTCATGACTTTTCGCGAAGAGCAGCATCTGGCGCACGTGTTCGCATCATCTGCATCACTTTCCTGATTAGGAGGAAATTCCATGCTAAGAACAGACATCGATAGTGAGTGAGGTCCATGCGGTCTTTTTTCATCCACAGAATACAATACTTTTTCAGAGTTTGGTCAAAATCGCAGTTTCTGCTAGTTTCTTGCCCTATTCTCATGGGACTGGCTCCGCTGAACATGAATATTACACTAATTTAGTGCGAAAACCCTTGTGACATATGTTACGATGAAGGAATTCACGAGCCCCTTCTGGGCTTTTTAACTTTTGGGAAAACTAATCGCAACTTCTCTTACAGCCAGCTAATGGCAGACATCGACTTTAGAAGTTTTGTTCACCATGTTCCAAAAAACGCAAAATGATGTGATCACACGGGAATGGATCCCATGACCATTTGTCTACGAGACCTGCTCACCACCTCTACTGCTACGTTATAATATGTTCTCCTGATGTGAAGACGCTTCCATTCCGCGATAATATGAAAACCAACAAAGAAACCTCCCAAGCTCCGTCCATAGAATCGTTTTGCAAACTTATAAAGAAGATTTGAGCTCAACGTCTCAAGATGCGTACATCGGTGAACATAGTATCGCAAACGGCCGGACCGACCTGTTCAACTTTCCTGGTAGCCAAAATATTTATTGATGTAAACGATGTATCGAATACGACTGTACGATCGCGCTCAGTATGCGGGACATATTCGCTAGGCAAACCTATCTCGTCCAAGACATCAAGTTTCAAATATGTAGAAAATCATGCCCTGCAAGTACTAGTACTTTCCAATCTCAAATTCGAGTATT